GGTGGTATTCAAATACCACCTCTGGCTGGCCCCAGAGTAGGGAGGGAATGGGGATTTTGCAGTATCCTTCCCCTGCCACGCCCACCAAGTCACACCCACAGAACCGATAGTAAAAAAAAAAATTGAATTTCACCACTGATCATAAGTAATAAAAACACATGGATGTGAGAAGCCTCCAGCATTGGCTTGTTAATTATAGGAGCAGGGCTTATCAGGCACTTAGTAGGGCATACCATGTTTCCCCGAAAATAAGACAGGGTCTTTCTTATTTTCTTTTGACCCCCGAAATAAGCCCTTGGCCTTATTTTCGGGGAGGTCTTATTATTTTTGAGGTGCAGGAGGCAGCAAGTGTGGTCACCTCATGGCTGCTTCTGTGTTGCAATATTTTCAGGAAGGGCTTATTTTAGCACATGCACTCAAAAGCCCCATTGGGCATATTATCCAGGGAGGTCTTATTTTCAGGGAAAGAGGGTATCATATGGATAGTGGCTTAATTGGACTGGCAACCTCACAAGTTGTTCCAGCTCAGAATTAGAAAACACTTTTCAAACCAAGATCCACCAAAATCTTTGACTTACGTGCTACCCCAGTGGCATTCTAGAGGGCAGGTGGGCTGGGGTCAGACAGGATCATAACAAAAACTAATCATGACTTGCACATGATCAATTTGTTTAAGATAAGAGAATTAAATACAATTTGAATGTCTGCTCTGTGTTTACGTAATCATTATTCCCTGGTGTAACATGAAAATTTACAGTTCACCGGCAGCATGATGGAGCACTACACATGGTACACAAGCGACAGATCACAGAGGTCTCTTCCCTGCTTACTCATTTCCGGCTCCAACAGTTGGAAAGTTGGAAACAGTGGAAGGATTGTTCTGCTGCAGCTCAGAACTATACAGCCTCACCTATCATTAGGCATTTTATCAACATCCCCGGTTGGAGGTCTAAGTCCAAGTTGGTAAGGGGGGTGGACTTTGAGTTTCTATCTGCAGATGAAGCAGGAATCTCCCGACAACCAGTAAGATTACAAACCATAGCTAGTGTTGAGCATTTGGGGCTGAATAGTTTGAATATGTAAAAAGGGACGCAGTGGCTCAATGGCTAAAATGATGAGCTTGTTGATCAGAAGGTTGTCAGTTTGGCAGTTCGAATCCCTAGTGCCACGTAACGGNAAATATTTGTAAAAGCTTTTTTTTAAAATTCTCAATAAAAAAAGGAGGGACAAAACCAATGGCATTTTTCAGAGTGAATATACCTTGTTTACATATCAGCAAAGGGCCAATTAAGCCACTGGCAATATCCTTTGGTGCGTTGACATGGGAATGATAGATCCATGTTAAACAGGCTGGATCATCATCAGTTGGGCCATGGGCCTCAGGAACCGTCCAGGTGTAAGTGTGGTTTCCTCCTGGTGGGACAGCATCATCTGCCTTATGCTCTCCAGAGGACCTATCAGGATACAGGGCCCCTAGAAGAAAGGATCAACGGCACCACCCAGTCAAAGGTAGGTTTCACAAGAAATCTAATGGTCAATTCCTCATTCTCTTGATGTATATTAATTGAAATTAACTGTAGGATACTCTGCACAAGGCCCAAGCACAGTAAATTTGTCATTAGCCTTTTTTGAGTTTACCCTTTGCCAACATAACATCCTTTAGAGCATTGAGTCTTTATTGATTAGCCCTTGGGCCATATCAAAGTGCAAAGTTCCAGAAACAAATTATTACTAAAATTTGATAAAAGCAATTTAAAACTGAATTTGATCAAATACAATTTAAAATGGAATTGGAATAAAAGACGATTTAAGATGGAATTGAAATAAAATGCAGTCTAAAATGAAATTGGAATGGAATACAATAATTTAAGATATAGACAAAATAGGATAAAATTATATTTCGGTATCACCCCTGCAATCTACCCTAATCAATCCCGTGTATTCAGATCTCAACTGAACCATTTTGATTAAGGACTGTGCTGTGTTAAATGTTCTTTTCCGGTTCTGGCCTCACATAAGGTAAGTTGTTTTGATATGGGGATCCCAATGGGTCCTTCATTTGGTATATGGACCAAGGTCCCTGTCTCTCTCCCCTTTATACAAGCGACAATCCAATAGGATGTGAGCCAGGTTTTCTACCTCTGCCGCTCCACAAATGCAGAGACGCTCATTGTAGGGTATAGAATGGAATCTCCTAAACATCCTTTAAATACACTCAGTCTGCCACGCGACATTCCCAGCCAACAGTGATGGTGATTGGATTTTCTGGAACTCAGGGTCCCTGAGATACATACACAAAAGGCTGATCTGGAGCTTTCAGCTGTTCTGTTCTGAATGGGGTTGCCTCATCTGGTGTCTTCGGGCAAACTTTCCCCCAAATTTACAGAGGTCCTTGCTAGATCTTGCCAAGTGCTCTCCCTTCAGCAGGGCCACTTGAGATCTCTAAAGGGTGGCTTGAGTTTTTCATTTTGTCACTTGCAAGCTTTCTCTCCTATGACCATCTGAAAGTATGCAAGCTTATTTACCTTCTGAATCCTTTGTGTAGAAGACACCGTGGGGGTGAATGGTGAATGGGCGGCTGGCAAAATTTTTCAGGTGCACAATAATGGTGTCTCCCACTTCGCCTCGTATGACGGGCCCAAGGAATCCCAGCCAGGCGGCCTTGGCTATCTCAACCGTGTATGTAGAATCAGAGTATTGCTTATAGACTGATTTCCTGTAAATCCCACCTATTCTGTCCTTGGCAGGTTGGAGGAAACGGGAAGCTACACTAGAAAAGAAAAGACAAAAGTTGAGACAACATTGGTAGCAATTTCCACCTAAACTCACTCTAGTGCAGTGATGGCTAACCTTTTCTCCGCGCATGCCGAAATTGTGCACACACGCGCTATCACGTGTGTGCATACCCACACCCACAATGCAATGCACCCATCCATCTGCACATGCACATGACCCCCCCCCCCCAACCAAGCTATGCCCACAGAACCAGTGGGTGGGGGGAATTA